CCTCCATAAACTTCTTAAACCACTCGAAAACTTGCGTGCGAGATAGACACTGATCACCATATACTTCTGTCAACAAATTGTAAGTTTCAGTGGCAGATTTTCCAAGTTTTGTGAGGAATTTGATGTTAGCACGTTGTTCTGCATTAGCACTCAGCATTATTCCGACGGAGCTCAGAAACACGATCCGCTTCTAACAATGGTCGCGGCCAGACTAACCGATGCACGTGAATGAAACTTTGTGTGACGGTAGAGGGAAGTCCAAGGGTCAATGCCCTACCCTCCTCTTCGTCAATGACGTGGCCGGAAATGAGTCATAAAAGTAATCCGGGTTCTTTATTGCCACACCTTGTATAAAGGTGGTTCAAATACGACCGGAACTGATTTGTGTGTAAACAAGCCGCACTGTGCAGCAGCTGTGCAACCTTGAGAGAGTGAAGCCACAACCTCCATCCTCCCTCCTGTTCGGGTTAGAACCTGTTCAGTCCTGTCTGGGAGTTGCTAGAGTGATGAGCAAACAGAAGGTACCACGGAGCATGGAACAACGCATTGTGATCAAATTCCTTGGAGAAAACGTCCCATCTGCTGAAATTTACCAGACTCCAACAACAGTATGGGGAAGAGTGTGTCTCACTGACCCGTGTGTTTGAGTGGTGTAAGTGCTTCAGAGAGGGCAGAGAGTGCATGGAGAATGAACCGCATGATCATCGGCTGCGAACATCCGTCACCGATCCAAACATTGATCGTGCAGACGTACTTATTCGTGAGAATAGGTGCATCACCATCAAGGAACTTGGAGCAGTGCTGTCCATCAGTGTTGGTAGTGTAGAAGACATTGTGAAATACCACCTGCACTATTGCAAGGTGAATGCACGGTGGGTACCAAGCACTTTGACGGACGTGAACAAAATGGTGTGCATGCAAGCTGCCAATCATCACCTATAGCAGTTTGAAGACGAAGGTGATGCATTTTTGAAGTCTATAGTGACCACCGATGAAATGTGGGTGCACTACTTTATTCCCGAGTCCCAGCAGTCAACACGCGAGTGGTGGCATACCAATGCTCCCAAACCCAAGAGAGCGCGGAGGAGCTGTTCGGCCGGAAAAGTGATGGCAACGTTCTTCTGGAACTGGCAGGGGGTTACCCATGTAGACTTTCTGACAGATGCCAGAACAGTCAATGCAGCTTATTACTCAGACCTCCTGGCAACAGACATGAAGGAAAAGTTCAGATCCAAGCAGAAGACAAGTGGAAAGCAGGTAGTCTTCCTTCAAGACAATGCACGCCCCCATATGGCCAAAACAACAATGGAAATCCTCTGGAAATTGAAATGGAACCTTCTGACACATCTGTTGCACAGTCCCGATTTGGCTCCAAGTGATTTCTACCTGTTCAGACGGCTCAAATCAGACTTGCAAGGCATGTGGTTTGTGGACGACGCTGTCATCCAGACTGTTTGGGAGTGGATACGCCGCCAACCGCAAGCCTTTTTTGAAAAGTGCATCAAGATGCCTCCAGAACGTTGGAAAAAATGTGTTGACTCTGGAGGGGAGTACGTTGAAGACTGACATGTGCAAGTAAGTGTTTGGTAATTATGGTTTTTAAAAAAAATCAGTCCCAGTCATATTTGAACCACCTTGTGTGTATATATAGATATTTCTAAGTGAAAGAAAGGTAACCGGCCGTGGCGGCCCATAGGGTTGTGAGATGTTGAGGCTGCCATAGTTTCTAGATGATTGGCTCACGGATGGTGGTGAGATTTTCATTCTTGTGCTCTGGTCACCTTTTACCCCTAGCAATATTCCTGGTGCTCTTCTGTCAGACACTGCATCAACTCCAGGGCCATAGTGCTGCTGGAAGAATTAGGTTAATTAAAAAATCCAGTAACCTTGCTGAGAATCGAACCTGTGATCTTCCAGCTTGTAGCATACCTCCTCAACCAACTACACTACCCTGTGCATCCCCAAGTGAAAGGAAAGCACATTATTTTTGTATGGGAGAACTTTCGCCTGTAATATTGAAAATTTTTGTTTAAAAGTTTGGGATTTAATGGATGAAGTGTATGAAATGGATAAAATGAATAATCTTAATATTCATTTGTTCCCGTACTCCATATTTGGCGATACAGCCTCCAGATACCGAACAAGTCAAGTTTTATCATAATAAGTCACCAATGCTATAATACTTAAGTATGTACACAAGCTGTGTACATGTCCTTTTAACCTCCTAGTTTCCCACAATAAATTCCACAATTTTTTTCAGATTAGTGAAAGTGCAGTATTTAAAGAAGTAACACTGGAAAAATGTGTCAATGAAACCTGGAGACACTGGTTAATGGCAGAAACACAAGGATCACAATACATTCAAACTGGAGAAGAAGAGGATATAAAATCTGAGTAACAAATGCACTATATATTATTGCATATTATATACATATACGTAGCAGATGCAACGCAACATAAAATATTTCATATAATATCATATACATTTATAATTTGAATATTTCCACTAGCAACAATAAAATAAAAATAATTTTACTTTTTTGTCTCATTATTTCAATTCATGTCGCATGTTTTAAGTACATATTTTTCAGTGTTTCAAAATGAATGAAATGATGTTGTGTATGTACTGACACAAGGATAGTGTAGCAAATGAAGCGGAACAGTACGGTAAAGTTAACTTCATGGCAGGGATGTTCAAATGTTTAATTTTAATATGTTAAGTACTGTTTGGAAAATCAGTGTTAGTTAGTTATTTAGAGAGGGTGGGTTTCCCCATGCACTTAGACCTGTATTGGTCCATTGTGCTTCCCTCTATGATTTCTACCAGTCTCTATATCCTACCGGTATTGGTACTTACCATCAGTCCCGCCCAGCCAGCGAGACCGGCCCTACTGGCTGAGAAGTATCTATAATGCTTTCCCCATCTACCGGAGGTATTAGAGACTGCTGTTGGGTAGGAAACATCCGCAATTTTGGCTCAGTGACCTCCATTGGAGATATGAGGTTCTTTTACGTGCCATACAGCTACGACACGGGACCCATGGCTTAAAGTCCCTCCCAGAGGACTTGTTCCCTGAATTTTTCCACCCTTAAAAATTCGACGACCTCTGCCGGGTATTTGAACCCGTGTACTACGAGTCATGAGGTGGGAACGTTACCTCTAGACTACGGAGGCCACTTAAAATCAGTGTTACAGAAACTAATTATTTGTCTTTACAATAATTTCAGTTGTGTATTCAAGAAACAACACATGCTGTAAAGTAAAGTCCCAGTGCTTTACTAATGAAGCACTGGGCCATGAAGACATGTGGGGCAATGGATCCATGCATTCTTCATCTTGGCACTAGATGGAGGTGAGTGGCTAGCTTCACTCCCTGGCCACTCTGTTCCTGGTATCCATTGGATTTAAGGCTGGGTGGGCCCCAGAACCGACCTGGACAATGTGGAGAGGAGATAATTCTTGCACCTACCAGGACTCAAACTCCGACCCCTTGGCCATCCAGCCCATAGCCAGCTGCTATATGCTATACCAACTGCGCTATCACTTGCTGTATTCAGTTAGATGTTATGGTACTTGTATACACAAACTTTGTATACTATCTGATGAGGAAAACAGACAGTACTGTGCCGCAAAATATGTGGCTCCTTAGGCTAGTCATCCATTGGAAGCGGAAACCTGCGAACTGGGATTCGACCGAATCTGTGCGAAGTCTGTTCGTCTGAATCCGTGCATTCCCTGCACATCTTTTGGCCGTGTGTTCGGCCGATGCCATTTGCATTCTGTCATGGCGCTGTCTGAAGATTTATGTGATATGCATGCGTTAGATATTCCTTTACTGGCTAGGCAATGAACACAGGAAAGGAGAAAAGAGTGGATTAGTGAAATTTTATCAAAAAGACAAACGTTTGGTGAATTTTCTCATATATGAAGTGATTTACAAGAGAACGAGTCACAGTATTCTGGTTATTTTCACATGAAGCAAGATACATATGAATACATAGTAGTACTTCGGTTTACCCTGCCAATCTTCATTCCACCAATTGCTCCACAATCACCCTGACCTATCATCTGGGGTTTGTACGATAGGCCAGAAGTGGCCGCAGTACAAGGGACTTAGTCCCACCCCACTAGCAATAATAATAATAAAAAAAGCAAAGTACATCAGTTGAAGAAGTACAGTAACTTCCGAGAAACAATTTCACCTGAAGAATGCCTAGCTCTAACTTTAAGTTAAGCATTTGATTAGAATTTGAGAAAACAAAATATTACATCGATGTTCTTGCTTTTTATTGACTACATACAAACCATTGTTTCTACAAAGGATAGAAATTACTATAATACACAGAAGCACTGTTACAGCGTTACAACCCAGAATATTATACTCTTCATAGTCACCGCTGTGACAGCCTCAAATCCAACAAGTTAACTCTCATTTTAAAAGAAAATGAATAACATTCGCAATGACATATCAGACACTCTGTTCAGAGAAAATAAAAACTTTCCAAGATGATCACACTTGACCTTTGACCATGAATTTCCCAAAATATGATCCTTAAAATTGAAAAGCCTACTATTATGCTCTAACATATAACCCAATTTCAACCTGGATCTGTCACTGCTATAAAATCGTAAATCTATCCATGTAGTGCAATCAGATGTATCTATAAATGTTCGAATAACCAGACATGTGAATTGTGACCATAATTTTTCAGTAAAACTACAAGTATTATTATAAATTGGTGACTAACCGTGTTTGGAGTAACAATGAAACCTAAATATAAAAAATATGAAAAAATATTTGTTGTGGTTTTAATTATTAATTTCTTATTCTTTTTTATATATATAATTTGAAAGTTCAGGCAAATTTATAAAAATCTCAAGACTCGTTTAACCTAGAAATTTCCATTATGCCTTACCTAAACAGATCTTTTAAGTGTGCTCAAGAATTTTGGACCCTGAATGTAAGAAACTTCCCTGGTGTGCTCTGGCAGAACAGACTCCTTGCAGCTACATATCTGATCAAGCTAGCTCCACATCAAACACAAATTTATACAGTTTCAGCCCCAGAACTGTTACTCCTAAGCATCCAGTGACATATTTTACTGACAAGTTCTTATATGACGATTTCTATGAAGGGTATTACTGTCTTCTGGGTTGTCATTCTACGTAATGTGATAGAAACTTTCAAATGTTTTACAGGAACCAATTGCATCAATTTCCACAGTCAAAGTGCATGCCAAAGAAGTAAGCAAGCAGCAAGCTTACACTTCAGTACTGAAGATGGAGTCAGTATGTTCCTCTGAAGCTGCAGTACATGTCTACCAGATTACATGGCATCACACCCCCCAAGAACACAACTGTGACACACTCGAATCTGTGTCGTTATTTCTTAAACATTTTGTTTAATTTCAGACATTTTGCTATCATTATGTGATACACTCCATTTAATCATGGAAAGCTGCCAAAACAATCTATAACATGTGAATCCATGGATGACCAAAATCTGCTCAGTTTGGAACTAGAGTGGGAGGTCTCTGATAACTGTCACACAAAGAGTTACTGAATCCAGGTTCTGCAACCAGTGGGGTGTTAGGGATTTATATCCTGCGAGATGAGCGAGAGAAACATGATGGCAATACTGCTTCCACAGTCTCTGCAATGTAGTCTTTAAGGAAGGCTCTCATCAGAGTTGGTGTGACACTCATTAAAGTGTCAGACAGGCTTCATACCCAGAAAAAAAAAGTTTTGGCCTACCACCAGAGGCCAGACACTGAAATACATGGGGCAATCCAAAAGTTTCTGAAATTTGAATTTTTCACGCAAATGGTCATGAGTACATCGAAATACCGCTAGGTGTCTCCTCACACATCCTTCTTGAATCAGTGTGGCAAGCGGCATCGAGTTCAGTGGTTGGGTTTATTGTTGGTGAACGTATTTCCATTGTTGTGTTTCCGTGAGTTTGCGGTTTTGCGATGGCTCACCTGAGAGAGCAGCGTGTCTGTATAAAGTTTTGTTTCAAACTTGGGAAAACCGCTGCAGAAACGCACCAAATGTTGAAGCAAGCTTTTGGTGAAAACAGTTTAGGCCAGACACAAACTTACAAGTGGTATAAGTGTTTTAAAAATGGTCGAACATTGACTTATGATGACGATCGTTCGGGACGGCCGTCAACATGCAAAACACCAGAAAATGTCGCGAAAGTTAGGGATCTGATTCTGCAAGATCGTAGACTGACCATCCAAGACCTCTGTAACACCTTGGGACTAAGTTATGGTACATGTCAACAAATTTTGTCAGAGGAACTGAACATGAGGATTGCGGCAAAGTTTGTGCCACGACTGCTACAAAATGAACAGAAGCAGCATCGCTTGGAAGTCTGCAGGGAACTTCAGCAACAGCTTCAAGAGGATCCAAACTTTCTTTTGAATGTTGTCACTGGTGACGAAAGTTGGGTTTATGGCTACGCCCCTGAAAACAAGCAGCAATCATCGCAATGGAAGAGCCCTTCTTCACCTGGGCCAAAAAAAGCTCGAAAAGTCAAGAGCAACATTAAGTCCTTGTTGATCTGTATTTTTGATAGTGACAGGGTTGTTCATAAGGAGTTCGTCCCTCCTGATCAGACAGTCAATAAAGAGTTCTATCGTGATGTTCTAAGGAGTTTGAGGGAGGACATGAGGAGAAAACGTCCAGAGAACTGGCACACGAACAACTGGGTACTCCACCATGACAACACACGACCACATACGGCTTACATTGTGCAGGAATATTTGGCTAAAAACAAGATGGCAGTTGTTCCCCACCCACCGTACTCGCCAGACTTAGCTCCATGCGACTTCTTTCTCTTCCCCAAGATGAAAATCAAGTTGAAGGGGAGAAGATTTGATACAGTTGAGGATATTCAAGCGGAAACGCAGATGGTACTAAACACCCTAACAAAGAAAGACTTCTAGGATGCATTTGAAAAGTGGCAGAAATGCTGGGATCGGTGTGTGCGCTTCCAAGGGGACTACTTTGAAGGTGATGGTGCAGAATAAGATCTAGGTAAGATGTAATAGTTTTTACTAATATATTTCGGGAACTTTTGGATTGTACCACGTATCACAATTAAAGGCCAAGTTCCATGATACATCAAACATAATATAAATGTATCTCTTTTAACACCTCCATACCCCCTAAAAGCTGGAGTATGAGAAAAGTTCACGGTTAATTATCAAATGTGTCAAACTAAATGTCAAGAGAAGTCAAACTACATCTCAAGGACAAAGCATCATGATTTTGCCCAACCAAAGACCTCGAAGTTTACATTGAACTACAGCTGAAGTTACATAAATCAACCATCAGCAGAATTATGCCAGGCACAAAATCTTTCAGTTAAACAGTGAACTGGCATGTTTGTTCGTGAATTCTGCCAGAGAACTGGCAGAATTCATGAACAAATCTGATTATTACTGCAGATGTTAAAAAGGGCACTTTAGCGACTTCAGGGCACTCACACTGATACAAATTTTGGTTTCTCAACTTCAATTCTTTACACCAAAAGTACTGCATTTTGCCTAGGATATTCGATATTCTGAATGTGTCCAATTCACGAAAAATCAAGTTTGTATTGGAAAGTTGTAAGTTAACAAATTTACAGTCATTTTGAGAACACTTCACTGCATGGGTCACTTAAAGTGTTTGCCCATGTTTTGCTTCCAGAAGAATACAGTAAAAGGGCTGAAATTCAATGTACAGTACTTTCCAACTATTCTGCCTTGGATAAGAAACTTTCAGAATTTTATGTCAGATGTCATGAATGCAGTCAGTTTTCAAAATGACATCTAACAGTGAAGCTCATCAGGAATAAGGAGCTGTCACACTGTTTTTAATGAGTGAGGAGAAACCTGTGGGAAGATGTTTGAAAAACGTTTACAGAGATGCCATTGCTGACAAAAGCACAGCTGGCTACTTTGTAAAACATGACAGATGATCAGAACAAGGAAATGCCAGACTTCACAATGAACCATGCAGTGGTCATGATGCCCACATGATTCTTACTGACAAAGTATGCAGTCATTTGTTTTCAGGTTGCATAAAGCCACACAAAAGGGCAGAAACTTTGTAGAAAATTAGTGTCTATAAATAAGGTACATGCATGTTAGGATAGAAAATGTGGGATAAAATGTCTGAGTGGCCCCCATACTCAGAAAAATTGACTAGCTCTGACAATTTGCAATCATGTTCAGACAATTTTTACAAGTGCAGTAAACACCCAGGGCCGTCTGACTTGAGGAACCAGTTCTTCCTTCTCTTATTTCAATAATGACACTCTTAATAGCTCACACGTTATAGTGCTGAATGATAGTATGATGTGATCATGAGTGAGGTATTAGCCTGGCCTTTGCCTTGAAGGGACTGAGGAAAACAACAAACAAACCTGTCACTGGCTGAGATTCAAACCATGCACCTCTCACAGAGAAGTACAGAACATTACAGCCAAACCAACTTTCTCAGCTGTAGATCACATTAGAAAATTTAATTTGTGAGAACCCTAGGAAAAAAATTACTTGCAAACAGTGGATATTCATAGATTGGCCCAGCTTGGAAACTACTCAGAAAACACTGAGCATATCACCGACTTCACTAAATGAAAACTGGGTATCTTAATCACTCACTGATTTCAGTTTAGCAATGCTCTTGAAAGAAATGAAATACAATGTACAGCAGGGACAATTTGTGTTACAATGTTTTTTCTAAAAATGATTCTTTTAGCTTGGACGACAATGTTCGGGGATTACCATCCCGCTCTGTCTCATTCAAGATGTCCAGAACAATGAGTTGTGTGCTCAGCGTTTTGATGAATATTCCAGATTAACTGAAGCATAAAACAAGTTTAGCCTGTCTCTTCCAACAGTACCTGATAAGATTCCTAAAAGACAAGTCTGGAAATACAATTCTTATCCCAATATGTATACCTCACTTGGCTGCACTGCCTAGTACAGGACAGGAGAGAACTTTTGGTACCAAACTTTCCACAGCAATAATTTTTCGACACTTCACATGGAAAGAAAGCATGTGATAGGCTTAAGTCCAGTACCTATACATAAATTTTGAACTGTGCTAGCTGTTGAGAACAGAGAAGAATAAATATATTTAATTTGATGGATGCCATTTTTAAGTCAATGGAAATTCAGTTCCCTTTAAAATGATATCTGAAAGGCATTGCCAAGTTCTGTATCTGTGTTGTAACCCCATCTTTTAACATTGCATAAAGCTGGGGAACAGGCATGCCAATCTGTATCATACACACGGATACTGGACACTTCAGAGGAACGTGTCGCCTCCATCTTCAGGCTTGGAACTGCAGGTACAGGGATTTGCAGGCAGGTTATAAAGAAAGGAGTCCAATCAAAGCCAGTGGAAAAGGTGAGCAGTAAAATTACCCCTTTTAAGTGGCACTAGTTTTTTGTTACAGGTAGGATATGGGACAGTGAGAAAAGACAATTCCTTTCCAGGGTCTGAATCCTGTTATCAGGAAGAAAAGTGGAATTATGAAAAAATGGAAAAAAGATGTCTTTTACAGAATCTCTGGCAGTGGGAAGTGAGGAAACCTCAAATCTTACATAGCCAATTTTTCCTTCATGATGGCTTGGATGAAGTCGTGTCATTTAGGAGGAAGTAACTAGTTTATTCTCCTCAGGAAGTAGTTGAGCAGCTTCCAATATCTGCTGAGAAGGAACCCTGTTCATGTTGCAAAGGTGGAAAGTTATCCCCACTGCTTCCCCTATGAGCAAGTGTGTGAACAGGGCCTGCTAACCGGGATGCTGCTGCTGTTCAACAGCATATGATGAATCAGGTCAATGCTGCATTCTGCCATACATGTGAATATAAGAGTGGTGTTCATTCACCCTGGTCTTGCTGGAAAATAACTGGAGAAACCGACTGCACCAAGGGGGAAATGGACTGTCCTCTCTTCCCACTTCCCTGAAAAATGCTCTCTCTTCCCAGTTTTCATATTCAAACTTCCTTCCTATCAGAAAAACAAAACTTAAGGGGGCCCCGAAGTACTGTCCTTTTTTATTTTTCATATAATTCCACTGTCCTTCCTGAAAAAAAAAAGACGTTCCCTGGAAGGGCTAACCTTCCCCACACTGGATGGAATTAATTAACCGTTTTTAATTTCCAACAAATTATGCTTGGATACCCAGTAATGAACATTTGATGTACGAAATATGTTTAGTTTCTCTTCATATATGTCATTTTCCGCATTCTTTCTTTATATCTGAAAACACAGTATTCTTCATAATTTCCAGCAATTCATCACACGGTGGTCCCTTTAATTTGAGTTGCGAGAGGATACATAGACCAGGAGCAGTCTATGGTCTATTTAGAAGAACTGTACACGCCCTGCATAAACAATTATACCATATACATGTAAGTACACACTAAAATTAATAACTTCTAGAATTCATTTAAATTGATGAAAACAAGCAAACATGAGAATTACAGGTCGTGTTATACTATGTATTTGCACATAGCTAATGCACCATTATTTTTAATGGCATTGGAAGGTAGTATTCTTTATCTCAAATATCTACATAATTGACAAAAATAATTCATTCATTCATTCATTCACATTCCATAAAATACTTACAAGGTTGAAAAAAGCAACATACAGATCGTCCAGAAATATAAACTCATCTTGCTTAGAAATCAAGCAGTTGTCAAAATAACAAGTTAATAGTATACAAGATTTAAATCACACATAAAAATATATCTTGAAAATATTAAGTAAGACATTGACCATTTTAAGATAAAAAAATTCAGTCCAAATATTATTTACTAATCATGCTTGTACAACATGACAGT